ATAATCATATACATTGTATATTGACAAAATAAAAATTTAACAAAAAAAAAAAAAAAAAGAAGTGAAAATACAATCTACAGAATAGGAGAAAATATCTGCACACCATATATCTGATATCATATCTTTACATATCTAGGATATATAAAGAACTCCTATAATTCAACAACAAAAACAGACAACTCAATTAAAAAATGGGTAAAAAATTTGAATAGACATTTCGCCAAAGAAGATATACAAATAATCAATAAGCACATGAAAAGATGTTTAACATCATTAGTCATTAGGGAAATTCAAACCAAAATAGCAAAAAGGACATTTGTTTACAGTATGAGAACTGAAACAAGATGGCAGAGCACTGCCTTATTAGACCTCAGATGGGAATATGTAGAGAGACTCAAATTTTCTACTGCTCTGCACATGCCTGTGAACGACTGCTAAAGTGCCATGAGTATTGATTTGGCGGTTACAAATAAATTTCAGAGAGTAAGCAAATTTGTGAATATGGAATCTGCAAGTAATGAGGTTCGACTGTATAAGCTAGACAAAATACAAAAGGAAACAAATACTTGAAATGTACTGGAGAGTATCCAGAAGCAGGAAGAAACTGAGGAAAAGGAACACCCATCAAAATAGAGTGGTTCTAAAAGAATTATCCATTTTAAGGCTTTACAACTAAGGACAAGTTGTGATCCCTATCACGTCAGAAGGCTGCAGTCATGCTTGATTGAATATCAAGAGCAAAAAGATTTGAGCTACCTAAGCAGCTGGAAAGTAAGAAAATTCCAAATTACACATTTAAACTCTGCGCAAATCCCCAACTGACCCTTGAAACTCCAAGCAGCCTAGCTATGATTGAAAGAACCAGATATTTCAGCTGCTGTTTGCTGCAAGAAGACAGGATTCAAAGATTTTCAGCCAAGTTCACTGCCTTAAGACAAACAAACAAACAAAAAAAACACTCTTCAGAGGAATGCAACAGAATACAGAGTCTCTACAACCCATCATCGACAATGTCCTACAGAATACAAGATTATCAGACATAGAAACAGAAATACCATGAAATAGAAAAAAACATGAAAAAAACAAATAGAAAAACCATGATCCATAGTCAAGAGAAAAAGCTAATCAAGACACTAACCCCACAATGACTGAGATGTTGAAATTACCAGACAAGGATTTCAGAGCAACTATTAAAATCCAAAAATGTAAATAAAAATATGGTTGTGATGAACAAACAAGAAATCTCAGTAGAGAAGCAGAAGCTATGAAAAAAATACCCAAACAAAATTTCTAGAACTGAAAAATACAATATCTAAACTAAAAAATTAACTGGATGAATATAACAGCATGTGAGAGATGGCATAAAGAGTAAGTGATGGGCCGGCCCGGTGGCGCGCTGGAGATTGCGCCGCTTGGGAGCATGGCGGCGCTTCCGCCGAGGGTTTGGATCCCATGTGGAGACCGGTTCCCGCTCACTGGCTGAGCGCGGTGTGGGCGCAACACCGAGGGTTGCGATCCCGTTGCCGGTCAGTAAAAAAGACAAAAAGGAAAAAAAAAAAAGAGTAAGTGAACTTGAAAATAGATCAACAGAAATTATCCAATCTGAAGAACAGAAAAAGCTGAAAGAAAAAAAATTAACAGAGCCTCAATATCAAAAGGTATAATTAGAGTCAGAAGGAGAGGAGATAGAGAATAGTACAAAAAAGATTTGAATAAAGTCTAAAAATTTCTCCAGTTTGGTGAAAGATAAATTTACAGATTTAAGAATTTAGTAAACCCTAAGCAGGCTAACAACAGAGAAAACTACAACAAGGCATTTTAAAACCAAAGAAAAAGGAAAATATCAATAGCAGCCAGGTCTCTATTCCAGCTCTATGATTTAAAGGTAATTTCTGAAATGCTGAAACATGAAATTTCAAAGATTTTTAGACACTTGCTACCCAGTTGAAAGGAGCACACACTCTCAAAATAAGATAGCATTTATTAGCTAAGACATAAAATGAGATTAGAGACATCCTCACTAACCTACTTCTTCCATGTCACCAAAAAAGTTAGGGGACCGTTTACTTGTTTATTACCTATCTCTCCCACTACACTACAAGGACTGAAAGAAAAGGGACCTTTGTTTGTCTTATTTCCCCTTGTACACCCAGTACCTAGGAGTATACCTACAACATAATAGATGTTTAATAAATATTTGTTATTGAATAAATATTACTTAAAATTATACTTTACTTCTTACATTATATGGAATGAAGGTAAATATATCAATAAGAGATATAAGCACACACTACTAACATATTTAAAGAATTAATGTAGAGTTGTCATAAAGAAATTCTTGAGTCTGAGTTAGTAAGTCATGTGTGAAATGCTTATACTTCGAACATATGCAACCTATATTCCATTCAAATGTCTCTTCCTCCTACCTAAAATGAATACCAAATTAATTTTTATTAAAACATAAGATTTCTGACATAAAAGAATTAAATCACCTGTCCCGCCAATTCCAATCGCTTGTTACCATAATAATCTCTGTCGTCAACTTTATTATCTCCTTGGGCCAGAATTACTCTTCGAACCATCACTGCAGTATAGATACATTTGGCTCGGAAATTGAATTCCTTAACCTGTAATTCAGAAACCAGAGAAAATTTTAAGACAACACGCACTAAAATTTAAGGTGCCTAAAGAAAAAAACCAATGTGATTACATTTAAATGAGAAAATACTGAGTTGTTATTATTCAGAGAAAATTCAACTAGTCAAAGAAATTCAACTAGTCTGTAAACTTCCTGAGAGCCGAGATGATGACTTTTCATCCTTGTACTCAGTACCTGTGGTGGCTTTTCTTCAAAGGTGACTATTTATCAACTCTTTCCTTCCTACATACTTCATTCCCCTCCTTCATTAGAAGTGGAGTCCATCACCCCCTTTGGATTGGCCTCTGATTAGCTCGACCAAGAAAATACAGCAGAAATGATGCCAAGCCAATTCCAGGCCTAGCCTATTAGTAAACTGGTAGTTTCTAATTCCTTTCTCTTAGATTCCTGAGACACCATGGGAGGAGTCCAAGACTCTGCTGTGGAGAGAGAGGCTACATGGAAAAGCACTGAGGAGCCAGAGATATGAATGAAGAAGCCATCTTGGATGTCCAGCCCCACTGAGCCTTCAGATGACTCCAGCCTCAGGTGCTATCTGTCTGCAACCTCATGAGAGACCTAAAGTAAGAACTTCCTCCTCCACCTTACGTTAAGCCCAGTCAAACCACAGAACCATGAGATATACAATAAACAGTTATGTTGGGCCAGTAAGTCTTAGAATTGTTTGTTATCAGTGATAATAGGAACAGTATTAAAACATCAGCATGCGGGCCGGCCTGGTGGCGCACTTGGTAGAGTGCGGCACTTGGGAATGCGGCGGCCCTCCCGCCGAGGGTTTGAATCCCATATAGAGACCGGTCCGCTCACTGGTTGAGCGCGTTGCGGGCGCGACACCGAGGGTTGCGATCCCGTTGCCGGTCGCAGTACAGGCGCGACACTGAGGGTTGCAATCCCGTTACAGGTCACGAAAAAAGACAAAAAGGAAAAAAAACCAAAAAAACAAACAAAAAAAACATTAGCATGCAACAAATATCTGTTGCTGAATGAATTTGCTGCAAATGTTCTAGTCAGTCTTCTCTATTACAAACCCTGAAACCCATATGAATGAATCTAGCTCAATCTTTAAGCTGAATCAGAACCGCTAAATTAATTGCTCTGGTTTGTTTGGGGAGACAAAAACCTTAGATGGATCCTTTTCACACATCTGAAAAGATGAATTCTGAGAGTGTGGACTAAGTTACTGCCAATTTCAAGGAATATTTTGAGGCTTTTCCATAGAGGATATGTACTTTCATAAAATTTCTTTTTTACTTACCCTAATGATTTAATAAAATACCAATGAGATTCTTTTTATTAAGTATATCACTATGACAGAATAACTCAGCAGATCTCGATTTAAAAGAAAAATAGTAAATGTTCTCCTTCATATATTTTGTTTGTTGCTGTTAAGGAATTCCACTAAACAATATAGGATATTAGAATTCTGTATATGTTTCAAACAGTTCATTTTCCTTCAAAGGAAGTTTTATTTCTTCTGTGGGTCAATTTATTTTCTATTACTGAGAACACGGGAATGTGTTAAAAGCAATGTGTTTGGAATGTGGTAAAAGGAAAAGTAGCTCTAAAAGCTACTTTGTCATCTTGTACCTACAAAACAATTACATCAATAAAGAAAAGTCTTTAAAAAGAAAAGTCTCTTGTCCACTTTCAAAAATAACCTCTACAACCATAACACCAATTACCACAACACCTAGGAGAAAAACCCAGTGTCTGGGCAGCTATAAATAATTTACATTGCCAATTGATACTCACCCAGCTATATGGTCCTCCATTCAGATACATCTAATTTACACTTTTTTTTCCTAGTCTTAATGAGGCCAGTTACACTGAACATCAAACTCTTCTAGTTGTATTTACCTTTCTTATTAATGAGAAAAATGAAGCAAACTTTCATTAACCAAATTTTCAATTTTCAACAAAGCCCATTTCGCGTTTTCCTTTTGCATAAATACTGGTAAATTCTCCAAGACATATATAAGTCGAAATAAGTACAGACAGTTCTAACAAATGCCCATGCTGCACTTCATAAGGCACTTGAATCCTAACTCATTTCACCCCCCTTTTAAATAACTGTATGTTGAAAAGCAAATCTGAGGTCTACATTGAAGTAATGAGTTAATACTTAGCACATTTTCCTAGGACTATTCCCAGAGTCATATGCAGAGTGGGACTGCTCTAATCTAGTGGCTGACATCACATTTTGGTAGAATGCCAACAACATTTCAGATATTCCTTTGTGGTATGTTAACCTGTGTATTATCTGAAAGAGGGAGAGAGAGAAGAACTAACAAATGAGCTTGGAACGCTGAAACAAAATTGTCACCAGAACTCTGGAAACTTTTAAAATATTACCATGGATGAAAAAGAGGTCTGAGATGTAGGCATCTTGCAGCCTAAATAACCGTCTTTACAGTTGTGGTATCCAGTGGTATGCATCATGATCACCCGGAGGGCTTGTTAAAATACAGATTGTTGGACCTCATCCCTTCAGCGTCTAAGTCAGCAGGTCTGGGTAGAATTCAAGCATTGGTAACAAGTCCCCAGGTGATACTAATGCTCTTTGAGAACCAAGGCCCCCGAGGAACTGAGTGGCCAGGGTACCAAGACAAAGGGCCCTGCAGGCCACTCTCAAGTAACAAAGGCTGGGAACTGCTGAATATCCTACCCATCTTTCTCTCTCCATGTATACTTAAACTAAACCACTGCTTTCCAAATTTAGTCATTCACGTTTCACCACATTTTTAAACAACTCATTATAAAGTAAGCTTTGTCCTATGCAATAATACCATAAAATCCCAAATATGACAAAAATGGATTTGGTGTGCTAGTTGTATTCTTTCTAATATGTAGATAATTATTTAAATTAAAATGGCCTTGTATCACCTAAAGTCATCTTTTAATCACACTTAGGTATATACTATCATAAACCATTCTAAAAAATGGAGGTCTTTTTCTTGGTTCATCTACTCTGACTTTATTCCTCACTGGATTATGTATAACCAAACTTGTAAAATGGTAATTTAGGCTCATTGTAAACACGGAAAGGTGCAAATGATTATCTTTACCAACTTAATTAAACAAAACAGTATAAACAGCTAAGGCTCTTAATTAATTAAAAGTTCTCCTCAGCTATAGTAGAAAGGTAGGTAAGCCTCCTAATAGAGACTCTATAACCCTGTGGGGAGCTCAGAAAATACAGACCTTTCTGTACGTTCTATCACTGAATCATCACAAGAACCCTGTGAGGAAGTGGTATTACTTTCATTACACACATGAGAAAAATGAAGTTTAGGAAAGTTAAGATTTGCCCAAAGCAAATCAGTTAGGAAGTAAAAAACCAGAAAGTGAAACTTTCTCTCTCTAGCTCCAATGCCTTTGTTGTTTCCACTATCCATTTTTGTTATTTAGAGTTTCAAACTGTCTTTCCAATTATCCAAATGAGTTTAACATTCAATTCAGGCCCAGCTTTAACCTTAAGAATTTTCTAATTCTCTGGATTAGATCAAAGACACACACAAAAGGCAGCCAGAGGGCAGAATCAGAGACCTGTATTATATGACTCACAAGGTGTTTTAACCCAAGAAAACTGCATCTGAATGCATTCAGGTGGTCACTCTCCACTTCCACAAATCCCTCAGCCTTCCATAATTGTACAATCAGCCCCTGAAGGTAGAATCTGCAACCCCTGAATTAGATCATTCCTGAAGGGTATACATAGTAACTCATTATAAACCAGACTATTTGGTTAACAAGATAGTCTGACTAACAAATAATAATTCTATAACTTAGAAAGATTAGAATAGATATTAAGTAGGGGTGGAGGGGATGACCTGCTCACACCACCCATGCCAACATGGCTGATCTGTTTAATGATAAGTGAATAAAAAATAAATATTATGTACTAGCTCAAGGGTCAGAAGATAGGTTCTAGTCCTCTCTCTGACCACGAACCACCTGGGTGACAAGGCAAATCATCTAGCTTTTCTGGATCAGAGAATCTTGACTGTAAGCAAAGAAGGATGGACAATGTGAACTCTAAAATTCAAGAGCTAACAGAGAAACTCATTCAATAAGCATTTTAAACAGTGACGGTTGTACAATAACATGAATGTACTTAGTGCTAGAGAACTGTATACTTAAAATAGTAAACTATGTTATGTACATTTTACCAGAATAAAAACAAGTATACGGGCAAGGCACTATAAGCTTGTTTTATTTAAAAACCATGTAAGATACCATCTCTGTTCTTCAAAACCATGAAATCTAGTAGTACCATTAATATATGTATGAATATGAAATAACTATAGTTTAAGATTGAAAGAACTAAGAGAGAATAAACTTGATGATGATATAGCTAACATTAAACTGCTCATAATGGAAGATTATTTCCAGCGGGGCAGTACAGGCCTCCTCAGGATTCTCTCTAAAGGAACTAGACTTTAAACAATGTAAACTCTTATTCACAATTCTTTAACAGAAGGGCCAGCCCGTGGCTCACTCGGGAGAGTGTGGTGCTGACAACACCAAGGTCATGGGCTCGGATCCTATATAAGGATGGCCGGTTGGCTCACTGGCTGAGTGTGGTGCTGATAACATCAAGCCAAGGGTTAAGATCCCCTTACTGGTCATCTTTATAAAAAAAAAAACAAAAAACAAAAAACCAAAAACACACAACTCTTTAACAGAAACTCACAGACCCCACGATCATCACTGTCCACACTTGCAATGGCGTGTACTCACTGGTACATGGGTCAGAATGGTAGAAGCCAGGAGCTCTCTTGCTTCTTCTATTTTGGTTTTCTTTGGTCCACCTCCCCACATCCTTTGCCTTCTTACTTTGTTCCCTATATATTTTAATGCCTATAAAAAACAGATTATAATAATGTTTGAATGAAATCATTAGAGATAATTTATTAAACACCTAACCATACACACACTATAAGCAAAAAAGATAACGACACTGGTTATAGAGAAAGCTGCATTGGGCCTAGACGAAAATCAGCATTTGTTATGGCGTGACTCAATGACAAAATAATATAACACATTGCCTAATGCACTGGTTCCCTTTTTATTTTTTAAAATGTTTTCTTACTATACAATTGATACATGATCATTGTAAGAAATTTATAAAACACAGGTAAGTAAAATATGTCTTTGTGTGTATAAATATGTATATATAAAGCAGCCATCCATCTTTCACCCAGAGAGAACTACAGGTAACATTTTGGGGTAGTACTTTCTCCAATTCAAAAAGGAATCATATCATGTAAGACCTCCACACTGAGAGCTATAAAATATTGCTGACAGTAAACCAAACCTAAATAAATTAAGAGTTATTACATCTTCATGGACTGAATAATTCAACAGTGTTAAAAGTGGCTTACCATTAAAATTCTCTCAAAATTGAACAAATTCTTAACTAATTATACTCTTGGCAGGCTTTTAAAAATCAAAAATCAATTAATTTTAAAATTCTAGATTCTAAAATTTACATGAAAATGCAAAGGATCTGTAATAGCTAAAACAACACTGAATAAGAAAAGTTAGAGCATTTACATTATCTGATTTCAACTATAAAGCTACAGTAATCAAAACAGTGTGATAGTGGTATAAGTACAGACAAATAGATAATGGAAGAGGATAAAAAGTCCGTAAATAATCCTACACAATATGGTCAACTGATTTTTGACAAAAGTACCAAAGCAATTCAATGAGGAAGGGAAAGTCTCTTCAACAAATAGTGTTGAAACAACTAAATACCCATAAAGTAAAAAATTAACCTTGACCCCTGCCTCACAACAAATAGAAAAATTAAGACAGATTTTAGACCTAAATGTAAAAACTAAAACCATAAACTTAGGAGAATATATTCCTGACCCTGGGGTAGGCAAAGATTTCTTTAAACAGGATACAGAAAGCAATAACCACAGAACACAAACTAAAAGCTTCCTTATAATTAGATTTTTTTTTCAAAATTAAAAGACAGTTAAGAAAACTGATAAGGAAGCAATGAATTGGGAGAAAATATTTACAATACATAAATCTGACAAGGGATTTATATCCAGGATTTTTTTTAAAAGACTGAAATTCAATAATAAAAAGACAACTCAATAAGGAAAATGAGCAAACAAATTGAATATTTCACGGAGAAGAAAACACCAATGACCAATAAACACATGAAAAAGTGCTCAATATCATTCATCAGCAGGGAAATAAAAATTAAAGCCACAAGGACATAGCATTACACAGCCACTAGAATGGCTAAAATTAAAAAGACTGACAACCCCAAATATTGGCGAGGACGTGAAATAATCAGAAATATCATATACTGCTGGTGGGTATGCAAAATGGTACAATCATTTTAGAAGAAGGTTTGGTAGTTCCGACTTTATAAAAGTTATATACACAACTGCTCTATGATCCAGCAATTCTACTCCTAAGTATTTATCCAAGAGAAATGAAAACTTGCCCATGCGAAAGTTTTGCTTATAGCAGCTTTATTCATAATTGCAAGACTGAAAAAAACAAAACAAACAAAAAAACCCCAAATGTCCATCAACAGGAAAACAGATAAACTGTAGTATGTTCATATAATGGAATATTATTCAGCAATAAAAAGGAACAAACTGCATGGATAAACGACATAAAAAGGAATAAAAAGGAACTTGAATGAATCTCAGACAATACACTCAGCAAAAGAAGCTAGACACAGATGAGCATACAGTCTACCTATACTGCCTAATTCCATATACAGATGGTCCCTCACCTAGAATAGTTTGACTCAAAATTTTCTGACTTCACACTGGTGCAAAAGCAATACACATTCAGTAGAAACTGTACTTCAGTACAGTAGTCAATAAATTACATGAGATTTTCAACGCTTTATTATAAAATAGGCTTTGTGTTAGATGATTTTGCCCAATTATAGGCAAATATAAGCGCTCTGAGTATGTTTAAGGTAGGCTAGGCTAAGCTGTAATGTTGGGTAGTTTAGGTTATTAAATGCATTTTTGACTTAGAATATTTTCAACTTACAATGGGTATATTGAGATGTAACCCCATCATAAATCTTGGAGATCTGTATAACTTTCTAGAACAAGCAAACTAGTCCATGGTGAAAATACAACAACAGTGGGAAACAATCAGACGGTAGAGGTGAAAACTGACTAGGAAGGGGCATGAGGTAATTTTCTGGGATAATGGAAATATTCTATATCTTGCAAAAGTCATACAATTAAAATTTGTACATTTTACTGTACATAAATTTTACTAAAAAATAATCAATTGTTAAAAAAAATGATCAAGTAGGTGGTGAGGAGTGAGTGGAGATTTGGATGAAACATGAATGTCAAAGTGTTGATAACTGTTGAAAGGTGGGTAATGGGTGCATAAGGGTTCACAGCATTATTATATATACTTTGTATACGTTGAAATTTTTCCATAATAATTAAGTGTTAGAAGAGGATCATGCAGCTCTTATTTCCTAACAACAATGTACTTAAAAAAAAAAAAAGAACTGGCTGTCAATTCCTCAGAAGGGCTGAGATCCCTGATTCTTTGCCCTAGAATTCTTGCTCCTATTACCTGCCCAGGAAATTCCTTTTTCATGCTTCAAAAAGCATGATACCTGAATCAGGTATCACTTCCCCTCTGAAGCCTTTCTTAACTTCACTCCTCTTTCTCCGAGATTTTAATTCCTTATGCATAAATAATTGAGTACTCTCATTTGTGTTCACATCACATTATATTTTAATTATCCATTTTCATGTATGTTTCTCCTAATAGACTTTGAGGATGAGAACTTTGTCATCTTTTTGACTCCCAATGACTATACAGTGCCTGAAATAAATGCATCTCCCTCCCCTGTGATAAGATTTAGACATCAAATCTAGGACTTCCCTGTTTAAAGACCATTAGAGTATAAGATAAACTAAGACCCTGAAAACAGCTGCTGCAGTGACCTGAGTAGCAACTAAGTAATTGATTAAAGCAAGTCAGCAGTTGGAAGGTACCATGAGTAGGTAGGCAGTTCGGGTTATCTGTAAACTGAGCTACCTTCATTAAATTTTGGCTTTCTAGCTTCCTTGGGAAAAAGGCTAAATAAAGATTCTTCACTTCTTTGAGGAAGAAATAAAGGAATGTAAGAGTGCAGGGTATCCCTTCTGATTTAGTAGAAAGTCACCTTGGTATACTTAATAATGTTGTCAAGGTTTCATGGTATGCGGGTTGTGATAAGAGTCTGACCTGTTCATAAATAGGCCAAGATGATACCCCTAGTGCATCCTATTTCTCTCCAAAAGGTAATAAATAATTTTTTCTCTATATATCAGAGCCTTTGGCATTGATGATGCAAAATGTACACGACTGATTTAGTGCAAAGACTTCATGAACAGAAGTGGTGGAGAGGCTAAAAAAGGGAGGCATAAAAACCAAAAAAACCCAAAATCCACAGGGATTTAAGCAATCCATTAGAGTGCCAGATCTTCAAAATTTCCATTACATAAGATAAAGTGTATTGGCTACATTTTCATTTAGAATAGCACAGAATAGTCATGTTTTCATAACTGATAACATATGTTAAATATCTCAACAATTTTTGGATTACTCATGCCTCTGTATCCTTTCATTAATTGCAAATAACTAATCTATGCCTTAATACAGCGTACAGAGAATAAGTACTTTTAACCTGTTTGGGGAAAAGGAACATTGTCTTTCTGATGTTAACTGATTCTATATTTCTACCATCTTTTCACTGATCTGATCTAATTCAGTCAGTTGAAATTTTATCAGCAGCTATTTAACAGAAATAAACAAACGATTTTCCAACCCACTGTTTGTCCCTGCTCAAACAGCTTTACAATGCTAGGGTTATTTGACCAACAATGATGATGCTTGTAATAAAATGCACAATGGATCTCACGGAAGCCAGTGGGGTACCATTAAGGTAAACTGCTCTTCCGAGGCACTACACAGCTTTAAAGAAGAGTGTATCTCCCAAAACTAAACCCATTATTCCTGTTAACAGGGTAGATTTTATATTTTCTACTTCCTGGATATTTCTCAATGCTTTGTCTTCATGTTCTTGAAAGCCCTTTGACAATATTATTTCAGTTTGTAACAAAGATTCATGCTCACCAAATACTCACTTTCAATAAAGGTCAAAAATAGAATCTCCTAAATCCAAACAACTTTTCCTGATGCTACTTGACCAATAACTGGAGTCAACTACTAATTGATTGTAGGAAAAAAGGAAGGCAGCAATGAGAATAATCCCTACTGATTTCTGATTGGGAATAAAATGTATTCATATATGACAGTTAACCTTCCTAAATATTTGGCTTAGTATACAAAATATCAAGACTGATTTGATTTCAGAACACATATTAACAGATATAAGTAGGAAATGCTATCTCTACAAGCATATTCTTGTCATTCTGGGTGACAAGAAAAAAACAGCCTGGAATTTATATCTTGTCGTAAGTAACCCACGGAATAGAAAATGTACATATGGATAAGTAAGAACTGTCTATTGTGGTTTTATAGTAGGGAGTTCCTCCCTCCCAGGATGGCTATGAGGAATGTTACCATTGATTTACACTTAGCAAAGCACTTTATAAACACGGGACTAAAAATTCTAAGTATGGCTATTAGGGATCCTTCCCATGTGGAAAGGGAAATGCAATTATTTTTGCTTATGTTTAGCACATATATAGCTCCCCAACTTCATCTTCGAGTCTTATCCTAAAATTCCCAGGTCCCAACCAGGAGTGCCTAAGCAAGTCAATGAAGGCTTGGTAGTGGTAAAAACGGACTGTTCCTGGTACTTTCTTACCACTGAAGTTACACTGGGAATTTAGGAAAAGGGACAGAGATCACACACAACTGAATGCCTAAAGCAACTGAAGTAGGGAATAAAAAAGAATATTAAGGAGAAATGCATGGAAAAACAAAAACAAAACAAAAAAAAAAACCCCAGCTCCTTACACTAGAGTTACTATAGTTAAAAAAACATAATATCACTCACCCAAATAAGGAAAAAATAATAGTACTTGCTATTACATCAGAACAAACTCCTCTTGGCCATATATCTCTCTTCTAAGTTAGACACCATGGACTGACAATTTGTCTATGCAAACTCCTTCCTCCAATCCCTAAAAAAAATGAGTCAAAGATACTTCTCTACCACTCCTCCCATCTCCTTAACCCCCTTCCCAAATCTGTAACACTAAAAGCCATTGCATCTGATGCTTTATCAATGAGCAGCATTAAATCTCCAATTCCACTTCATAGCAAAGGATAACATGAAAAGACACACCTGCATCTGTGTGAAAATCTGAGCTTTCTGGCACTCTTCCAAACTGGGCCCAAATGCAGCCATCACATGCTCCTCTGTTCCAATCATCTGCACAATTTCCTGGTCACTCTCAACACCCATGGCCTAGGAAGGAAAGAAAAGATAGAAAGAGTGTTGGCTTTGTGTTAACTCACTGACATTTGCTTATGCTAATTTGGCATTGTTTGTGGGTATTACTTCTAAGCAAAAGCTAGCTCTTCTCTCAGAAATGGTGCCATCTGGCATTGGCAGCCATAGCCCAAGCTGCAGAGGAACCTGAAACAGAAATTTTGATTAGGAAGAAGAAAACAAACATTCTCAAGCATTTTTTGCATGTGTACTATCTTCTAAAATTTTTAGATATTCTGAAAGTTTCATCATGAAAAAAGGAGGCCAAAAGGTATAGTGGGGACGACTGGTCACGATTACAAGGCAAACTGAAAAGAAAAACAGCCAAAAGGCAGGGAATGAGAAAACATGCATGGCTGAAAATAAGCAGAACCCTGGTTAGTTTTGTCACAAGATTAATTTTCCTGAGAACTGTTAAATCATTCATATTCAGGCTAAAAGAATTTTTCCTAAAGGATGTTTTACCTCACTATTCTAGAGATATCAAACCATACCTTATGCAGGTTTTAAAAGAGATTTTTAAAAACTAAGAACATACTTAACAGGTTTTGGAAACCCACTTAAGTGTTTCAAGGTGGCAGCGGCAGTGCAGGTCTTTGTAGATTCCATATGGTACCAAGGCTCACTCCTTCACACATTTGTCTGGAATTCTGCCATATCAAGAAATAGAGCTTAATCTCACTAAAACTCTCTTGGCAGAGTAATAATCTGCTTCTCAGAAGTTAGCAGAAAAGTTATGTTTAAATTAAAATTCTTCCTTTAGCTCTGCACAGAACAGAACCAGAGGATAATTGTCTAGTTAAGCTTTGATGCTCTAGTTCTCAGTTCACCACACCAAAGAGAGAGGAAGAGAAAATCATACCCCAAGTTCCAATGCAGAACATCAAGGACACTGTCCTGAGAACGAACGAAAGAGCAACTATCTAAAAGTCAAGAGATCTGAGGTGGTCATCCTAATATAATGCCAACAACAGACACAGACATTACAATGATGACTGTCACCTAACCTCTTCTACCTCAGGTTTTTCATTTGTGCAACGAGATGGCACAACCAGGTCCCTTTCAGTTCGAAATTCTGCAATTCTACATTTGAATACATCAGTGGTCTGTATTCTGTAAATTCTATTTGTATACTTTAGGATCAGATATAAACTTATAGAAAGTTTTGAAGATTTCAGGGGAAGCTAAATAGATGCTGTGTCCCTTTTGGGCCAATTGTGATAGTTTAAAAAATGTTCACAAATTCTTTGACACGTCCTTCAAAAGGTGGAGACTAATTCCCCTCTCCCTCAGTGTAAGCTAAACTTAATGACGCACTTCTGTAGAACAAAAGCCGAAGTGGCATGTATGTTTGGAGGCGGTCATAAAAGGCACCGTGGCTTCCTGCTTACTCTCTCTTAGAGTGCTCTCTCTGGGGAAAGCTAGCCACCATGTCATGAAGACACTCAAGTAGTCTGTGGGAAGGTCCAGAGGCAAGGAACTAAGGCCTCTTATCAACAGCCAAGGAGGACCTGAGGCTTTTTCTCCAACTGCCATGTAGGTGAGCCATCATAACTGCAGAGACTCCAGCTCCAGTACAGCCTTCAGATGACTGCAGCCCTGGCCGACATCTTGACTTATGAAAGACCCGACCCAGAACCATCCAGCCAAGCAACTCCCAAATTCCTGATCAACAGAAATTATGCTATAATTTGTTACACAGTACAGATAGATAATACGCCAACTTTTGGAATACTTGAAATTAAAAAAAATATTTTTAATGTATTAATTGCTTTGTTCAAAATAATTTTTTTTTTTTTAGAAAACATACAAAGAAGTTCTCAGAGCACAACCCCCCCCTTTTTTACTTTAATTTTTGTAGTCTACCTCTAGTTTGATTGACACATTTATTCAAATGGATACTAGAAATAAACTCCACTATGAAAACTACACAAATTCATTAAAACAGCCTTTCATGGGTTAACAGACAGCATTCCTAAAAACTTATCAGTTCTAATTTTTAAACAAATGAACAAAAACTAGATTACACTTAGCTTACGTGTGCTGAGTTACATCTACTCTGATGGTGACATCATATATGCAGAACCATCCACATTTTCTCCTTGGTCGGCAAGTAACCAGTCACAAATATTAGAACAGAATTTTCCTCTGTGAAAAGCTAATGAGTGTAAGTTCATTTTTACTTGTCAATCTCTCAAAATAATGTTATATGGGTTTCAGTGGAATCAAAATATAAAAAAAACAATACTAAGGTAACTAATTTGCAGTAGAATCCCAACATGTTTTTCTAAAACCTTCACTTTAAAACTTGTAACCTATGTGCTTCACTTCTCAGAGGAAAGCCCAAACACTAAAAGAGACCCATATGGGATATATACCAAGCCGAGCAAGCAAAATGATATAGCAAGAAAAGGTATATTTCTGAGACAGAAATAGACTCCTGGAGTTGAAATGGCTATAGCTTTCTGGATCAGCCCCCTTTCTTTGGGCATGTTAACACCTAAATCATGTGAACTGAAAGTCACCTAGATTGTTTTAATAATTTTTATTTTAGTAATCTCCAAGTAAAAAAGACTACTGCGTACTTTGATGTTTAATACTAACGAAACAGTCCTTCCTCATTTGACATACGGATTGCCACTTCAAGTTGTCCTGATGCTGAATCTAAGTAGTAGTTTTATAATTGCATAAAATTCTTGTATGGCCTAACACGGATATAAACATACTGCTTAGGCCCTCCAAATATTTCTAAGCTATAAAGCAAAGATATGCCAAGCACATGGTAAATGACACCATATGTGCGGAAAGCATGATTACTGCCAAAAGGACTAAACTCTTCCTATATCAAGTCACCGAAATACAGGGGCGATAACTCAGTCAGGTTATCATCAAAGCACTCCAGCTGCAAAGACTGAACTGACTTTATGACTATTTAGCCTTCAGTAGTCACAGCTACAAATAAATGACATATTGCTATGGAAACGACAGCAAAATGCCCAACCATTTTGCTTTACAGACATAATTTAGACATCTGAAAACCGTCTTTATATGGAACTCTTTGTACTCCAGAGATCTGAAATCATTTCCCCTAATAAGTCAAAAGTAAATGCTACATAATAACCTCAAGAAAAAGCAGATAACACATTTCAGCAGAAGGTCACCCACAGTCTGACACTCAGCAATAACATTGAACAAAAATAAGGGGACACACTCTTTAAAAAGTGGCATAAAGTCTTCTCCTTGTATATTCACGAAGTGTGACTCAAAGTGTGACTTTTAAAGACAGAAAGAAGAAAGAATACTAATGAGCAGAAGAGAATGATATGCACACTAATGGTGATATGTTGAAATATATTGTGTGATGGTGAGAAAGGGAATAACTTCTTAAAATGACTAATACTCAGAAATCTGTAATTTTTCTTTAAAATACACTAAAGTCAACCTGTTATTACTAAGACCAGTCCTAGCCGTTAATAAGAGAACTGTGATGGACCTCTTTAATTCTGTAATTGTTTCTCTTTAAAGATGATAAATTTCCATATAAGTTGGTTTCCAAAAAGCATCGTCCAGCACCCTTGAAATCTGATCCTCTTTTGGGCAAAAACTTTCAAACTGCAGATGCCATCATCATAGTGCAACTGCTGAATACTTGGGAATACAAAATGTAAAGTGGAGAAGATTCACGAGCAAGAGAACCTTTGTAGTGATTCAAGTCCATAAATAAGGCTGATCTATGTCTTAAAAAGCTTTATCCATCATATTCAGACTCAGCATGGAATGTGGAAACCCTGCTGTTTCTGTCACTTTAGCCAATTGTTGGTTACAATCAACAACCATCAAGTCCTAATGACTGTCAAGGTCTGCGTTAGGGCCACACAACACAAAAAGAGAAATGATGTGCCTTTTTTGGTATCCACGTTTATTTTCCTGGGCTTCTGACAGTAAGTGGGTAAGGATAACTAAGGAAAGAAAAAGAGCGTGGCACTCTACGTTTGAAAAAATACATGATCTCATTTGCTTTTCACAACAACACTCTTAGGTGAAATTCTCACTTTATAGATGAGTTATCTAAAACTCAATGAGATCAAGAAATATGCCCAAGGTTACGTAGCTAATAAGTGGAGAAGCTGGGATTCAACCTAGATGTGTCCAATTCAAAGATATCTAATACTCTAGGCTGTCTCCCAGATGAAAAAGTTCAAATAGTGGTTCCCATCAGTCTTATTAAAACATCTCTATAGTGGGAGACCCAAAAAAAGTAACTATGTATGACCAAAATATTTAGTTCATTTGTCTGAACTAAAAACTTTTTAATATTTATTTTAATTCTTATATACTACTGATTAGAATGTAATGGATAGGTTTTGGGAAAAAACTTAGCAACGTGTACAAGTTTTTAAAAAAACTACACTTCTACTGCCAGGAATAAAGTCTCACAAAATAATCAGCAATGTGCACAACAAGTATGTATAAGGATAGTCATCCCAGGGCTGTGTGTAAGAGTGAGAACTTGTGGGGAAAAAAATGACACTTACCTGTCCCACTTAGGAAATTAGTTAAATAAATTATACTACATGCATGCAACTTCTAGACAATACCCACTGAAAATAATGATATAGATTCATATTTATAGACATGGGAAGCCATTCACAATTCACTGGTAAGTGAAAAAAATAAAACTGATGGGTACATTACAAAAGCACAGGAAAAAGGTCTGAACAAATAAATCTAAAAATGTAGTTAAATTTTTCAGTGGCTTTCTAAATTTTTACAATGTAAGAAATATTTTATAATCAGAAAGGGAGAAGTTTGAAATCTAGACTACTGATTACATAAATATGCATATTGTTTATTTATAGCCCGTAATAACTTCGTATAGCATACATTATACGAAGTTATACGAACAATAGACTCTATAACTCTTTGCATCAGCTCCAAGGACTATTCAGCTGTAACTGAAAATAAATCAAGCAGCCCTGTCCCAGGAGATGCCCTCAGTCAGAGCCCATCCTTCATAAATAGCTAGCTCAGCCTTCTCAAGCCAGTTTCTACCTTGCTTTCCACAAAAGGCCCAGGTCAGTCAACTCAAGTGACCTCTAATAGCCCTGATGCCACAGGATGTTCCTCTCTACCGTCTTCAGTCAAACTTTCCTGTTTTCACTCTGGCTATCTCTGCATTTGGACGAGTCTTTTAATTTCAAATATTTCTGTGAGATGTACTCCCAGAAGTTGCAGACTGTGTACAGTTTGTTCCTGCTCCTCTGTTATGTGGGATCCGAACCCTCGGGCGGGAGTGCCGCCGCGCTTCCCAAGCGGCGCACTATCCAGTGCACCACCGGGCCGGCCCCTATAGCCCCATTTTAAAAAGGACTTTAGTCAGCTATTTATACGTATACGTTTAAAACATAAACATTAAACAAATTTGACAGAAGAAACTGTAATGTTAAACTTTTGCCAAAAAGAAGGTACTTAAAGTTTTCTGATTTTAATGCATGCATGCATCTAGTGACATATTTTCCATGAGTGACAGAAGATTACACACATTATAATTAGCTTATAATTTCTGGTCTAAAGAAGGCAGTACCGTGCATCTTCAAGTGCCTAAAATTTTCAAAAAAGTCTTTTGGATGCATGGGAACACACTGCCCTCTGCTGGAGATGTAATTCTGCATCATTAGATACATTTTCTTCATCTCTAGGTACACAAGACACTGAATTGGGCATTGTGGGATCCCTACAAGAAAAGCCAAAATTACTTCTGTGCTTAAAAAACATAAACCTCAAAGAAAGGAAACAAAAAGTATATTTAAGAATTCTCTCTGGACTCCCTTATATAATGGTACTGCTATTATGGTTATCATCATCCTGAAAAGAAAATAAATGGCTCCATCTCATTTATAGAACTCAAAAGCATTTTAAGGTATACCAAACATAAAAAAAAATTCCTACAATCCCCTTCACATAACTGCATTTAGAATATGGATATTTCTTGAGTTAAAGAAGCTGATACGTCAACACCCATTCAATACCTATGAACAACCAGGGCACACTCCCTATCTCCCAAACCCCAGCCTTACTCGAAAAAGCCAACCTTCCTCCTGACTCCTTCACTCTGTCGCCCAGTTACAACTTTAATAGTAAAGGTTCAATCCCTTCTTGCTCACTCCTCTGACACTTATACCCAAATATCCTTCTTTTTTAACCAACTTAGTTAATTCCATCTCAGAGGATCTCTTTCTCAGTTTTCTCTCCTCATGACCCAAAAACTATTTCCACTATCATAACAACTGTTGAACAGAAATATTTAATTCTGAAGTAAAACTGAATGACGAATGAGTATTATCAATCTCTAAAATTATGTCGGGGCCGGCCCGGTGGCGCACTGGATAGTGCGCCGCTTGGGAAGTGCGGCGGTGCTCCCGCCCGAGGGTTCGGATCCCACATACAGACCGGTTCCCGCTCACTGGCTGAGCGAGGCACGGGAGCAACACCGAGGGTTGCGATCCCGTTGCCGGTCCCCGGTCCGGTACGGGCGCGACACTGAGGGTTGCGATCCGCTGCTGGTCACGAAAAAAAAAAAAGACAAAAAGGAAAAAAAAAAAAAAAAAGAATGTGCAATAGTATTTATATCCCAGAGCAGGCTAAGTGGGCGACTATGCAACTATCTAAGACTATACCATCTAAAAATTATTTCTATAGGAAATGTCCTTTGGGTTCTAAGCCAACAATTTACAAAAAGCTGAAAAAAAAATCAGTTGTAGATTGAAGATTTATGTTTATGTACAAATTGATCAGAACCTGAAAATCCTTAAAAATGAACAACCAACCTGGTCCATACTCTTTGACATAGAATATTCTCTGATTATGAATTTAGCCTATGGATATCTTTGCCCATGTTATTACAGCAGTTTTATAATAGCAAGAGATATATATGTCGACTGGCTGGGGATTGGTTAAATAAATTATGGTACAGCCACAAGTGGAACAGTCTGTTAAAAGAATGCAGTAGGTTTGTATGCACTAATACAACACTATCACCAAGATGTAAGTTACAAAAAGAAAAAAGTGCAAAATGGTATGCAAGGTATGTAAGTAACAAACAAAAATCCAGAACAAAAAACTACTATAAACGCATGTACTTGTATATGCAAAAACCATCTCTTGAAAGATACACAAGAAAGTAATAACAGTGGTATCTCTGGGTAGGAGAACTATGTGATTAGGGACATGGTGGGTAGGAAGCCTATTCAGCACTATATTTTTTTGTACTTTTGGAATTTTTTATGGTGTATCTTTTTTAAAAAAGTAGATTACTATTTTTTAAAAAATCTGAACCTCGGTCTCACTGACTTTCAATTTAAAATATATCACATAACTAACAACTTATCTATGGCACAAATCTTTCTATTCCTAGAATTCCTTGTCCTCCACATTTCTAATTACATATGAAAATAAACCAGAAAAAGAACTCTTTATAATTTTCAGAAGAGAGCTGCAGGTTTACCTTAAATATGATGACAATTGGTATATCTTCTGACAAAGTATTATGCCTCAAATAAAATCGTCCTTGTTTCACTGCCATATTGGTTCTGCTTTTTTTCTCATGGGTAGAGCTACAAGTAAACACAAATCGGTTAAACTGTATCCTCATTTAGTTTCAAGATCGTAACATGCAATAGCAATGACTGTCAATCAATAAGGTTCAACTGATCAACAACAATTAGGAAGGTCCTCTCTAATAAATACTTTCCTGCCCTGCTGCCTCTTCCGTGAACATCTGAAAACACTACAAATGTTTCTTCAGCTTTGAGATTATGGTGAAAGTGTTGTGGGTGGATGAGAGACAATCATCTTCTGACCCACTTCACTTTTCCATCTGAATAACTCTGATCCAGTGTAGAGCATATATTCATGGCCAATTTTATATTCTTGAAGAGAAAAATCTCAGAATGAGCCTAAACCATAATGAGAAAACTATGAAGAAATGAGTTAATATACTATGGGTTTTAAAACTAATAATCCAATAAAATATACCCACACTTGTGGTATACAGTGAGGCCGAAACTAAGGAATAGCCTACCATTGGTATCTACATTGGTTATAAAATTCCTAATGGATTTAAAAGCATTTGAAAAGCTCCAATCAACCACAACAGCAACATATACTGATTGCCTGCTACATAGTATGCACTGTTACCCACTTTACTTATATTAGCTCTAATCTTCAAAATAACAACACTTACTTTAACGTATCTCCAAACTATATATGAGAAAACCAAGGCTTACAGAAAATAAGTAACCACTCACTCCAGAGCCTCACAGCTAGAAAACAACAGCTTTAGGATTCAAATCCAGGGGCCGGCCCGGTGGCGCACTGCTACAGTGCGCCGCTTGGGAGCGCGGTGGCGCTCCCGCCGAGGGTTCGGATCCCACATACAGACCGGTTCCCGCTCACTGGCTGAGCGAGGTGTGGGAGCAACACCGAGGGTTGCAATCCCGTTGCCGGACACGAAAAAAGACAAAAAGGAAAAAAAAAAAAAAGGATTCAAATCCAGAATGCCTGGCTCTAAAGTTGTGTACAGTGAGAGGACATGGGTAGCAGAATTATTTTACCTGGATTCAAATGCTGGTTACCTCTAACAATCAAGGTGGCCCTGAGCTTAAGGCCTGTTACTCAGCTGTAAAATTGAGATAATAACACTTATTTTAAAGGACCGAGGTAACAATTAAATAACATACATAAAGTACCTAACACTTTGCCTGGCTCCTAGTAAGTGCTAAATAAATGGCCATACTGTTAGCTGCCTCTCCATCCAAAAGAAAAATGCAGAAACTCTAAGTTAATCAGTTCATTATAGGTTGTCAGAAGAGAAACTTACTGCACACTGACATCTACGTCACAAACCTTTCTATTCCCAGAACTCATTAATCTCCAAATTTCAAATCACACATAATAATAAACTAAAGAAAAGACATGGCAGAAGTGATGCAAGGGATGCTGTTACAGAAAATGATTATAAAGAACACACAAAATAAAAATTTTTAAATTTTTGAAAATTTAATAAAATGAGAACCCTGTGAAAAAAGCTCATCAAGAAAACTAACAAGATATTAAGTCCATGATATAATTCATTAAATATTAACAGTAAAATAGTCTCTGACTATATCAATGTAGGAATACACAGGTAAATGGTCAAAGACTGAAAAGAAACATAAAAAACTGGAGAGTGGTTTTATGTTTCTTATAAGTTCCTTTAATGCTATAAATTAACAGAAAATCCAATTTAAATAAAACAACTAATGACCTTTCAAACAATGTCTCACACTTTCACCAATGAAATTTTAAAATCAATACTCTGTGCTTACAGATTTACACAATAAATTAAATGTAGACAGTTTAAATATAACACTAAATGTTATTAGAGAGAAATACTGGCTACCACTGTATAGAAACACAGCCATCTGATATTACTGGAATTATCAATATTTCTTAAGAACACCAGCTATGCTTCCCATACCTGGTAACTGAAGCTCCAACCGTCCCTTTTCTATCAGCCTCCACAATGATCCTGTTCTTAGACAGCTGCTCCTGAATAAGAATAACTTTTTCCACTCCTTTAACAATGAAGTAGCCACCTGCACAAAGGAAACAAGAAAAGCTTCACCCCCTATTCTTCAACCAGCGTGATTTAGTAATGGCAGGGATCTCCCGACTCAGAGATCACATTTCCTACTGCTTCATGGCACTGGCTATCACTTAATTCAAAGGGGTCTGCTGATATTGTCTTACAGATTGATAGAAATGTCAGCACATGATTTACACAAATGAACAAGATGATAAACTTCTTGAGGACAAGGCATGTACCTTATTGGTCTATGTATCACTAGGCCCTGATATATTTAGCAGGTGAATGAAAAAAAAGTGAAATAAATTAGTCTTCAGATAACTGGCAATCTTCAACATAAAGTGAAATTTACTCTACATTTTCTAATAAATCAGTGACAATGGCACATTAAAATTAGGCTCCCCAAATATTTTATACTGAGGAAAACTCATACAACATTATCATATTTTTTTTGCACATAATTAAGAGTAAGATAAAATGAGACTTCATTTTATCTGCAAAATATAAGCAAAATCAAACCAATATACTTGACAAATGCAACATTTTGGTATACAAGGGGTATTTCAAAAACTTTGTGGAAAAATAGAGTTAAAAAATAATACAAATCTTTCCATGAACTTTTTGAAGTATTTCTCATAGTCTAGTAAAATCATATTATTAACTTCTTTCCAAAGTCTTCTGGGATTCTACATCTATGTAACTTTACAGGAATTAGATTAAAGCATTTGTAAGTTAAAATAAATCAACGTGAAACACAAGATATTAAGAGTAACTTTCTGTTAAGTGCTAAGTTTGAAACTTTACAAAAGTTTTGAAATAGGTACAAAAATACAATTCTAAAAAATGTAAATAAAACAGACTTTCATTTTTCTCCCCTTTACTGTATTTAAACAGCCAGAAGTGAGCTACTTGAATCTTTTCAGTCCAGGCTAGACCAGTAACTTTGGGAGAATATTCTTGAATTTTTAAGCATTCCACAAGAAACTACTGAGCAAATATAGAAAGAAAAGACTGACAAACCATGGCAATAAATCAGAACTTGGGTGTTAAAGTTTTAAAGCTGAAATAAAAGAGGAAACAGTATACCTTCCAGAAATAAAAACTAACAGAACAAAGTTGGAGCCAAATTTCTGGACATTTTGTGAACATAGTTTTATCCAATAAGTTCATTATAAAGCAGAAAGGCTGGTATTGTTTTTGAAGAAAAATGTTAAAACAACAGCAATGGCAGAACAAAGGAATAACAAAAAGGAGAGGAGGCAAATCCAAGGCATCATACACACCTGGATCCAAAGGACATTCATTCAGTTTGGCAAATTCTGCTGGTGTTTTTCCTGTAAGAACACAGTTTGAACTACGTAGCATTATGGGCATTCTGTTGAAATAAAACAAAAGACGTTATCAACTACTGTCGGCAAAAACTGCAAAGGATACAAAACATGCAATGCACATATCACTAAGGGGTCTGTATTTCTGTGTGCCATATTAGAAAAGGCAAAGGAATAGCATTATATAAAATAGCCAAGTGAAATGAAGACTTTTTTCAGGCACGCTGCTCTTACTAGTATAGGCAATAAAAACTCAAATATGTGGTTTACTTAAACTTTGCATACAGGGCTTAGTGAAAGTCATAAAAGATGCAACTCTTCCTTCATTGCAAACAAAGTGATTCTCATTATTTAACAGGAAATAGCACAGTGAGCCAAAATGTGAGGAACAAGAGACTATCAAAACTAACCGAGCATTTTGGAAAAAGAACTAAGCAAAACTTCTAGAAATAGAAAATGTAAGAATTAATTTAAAAATCTATTAACAGGGTGAATAATAATGATTTGATACAGCTGAAGAGAGAATTACTGAATTGGAAAAGAGATCTGAAGAAATTACTGAGAATGCATTTCAAAAAGACAAAGAGATGAAATTTACAAAAGAGTTTAAGTCATGGAAGAACAGAGTGAGAAGATCTAATATACAGACTTCTAGATGGAGAGAATACACAAAGTGGATGAAAAGTCCTATTCAAAGAGATAATGGTGAATATTTAAAAATATATGAAAGCCATAAATCCTCACAATAATATCTAAGCACGATAAATAAAAAGACAGCCCCCCCTAAACATATCACAGTCAAGATACAAAACACCAAACCAAAGTTGAAGATAATATTTAAAACCCAGCCAGAAGAAAAGGCTGGTTACCAAAAAGGGAAGGATGATTAGACTGACAGATAACTTCACAACAATAATAAATGACAGTGGAGTAATATACTTACAGAAAATTACCATCAACCTAAATTTATATATTCTGTGAATGAATCACTGAGAATGAAGTCAATATAAAGATATTTTCAGACAAAAACTGAGAAGTTACCACTAACAGACCCTCACTAAAGGAATTTCTAAAAGAAATGCATCTTCAGGAAGATGGAAAATAAAAGCTGAGTGAAAGTCTGACATTCAAAAATGTATGGTGAGCAAAGAAAATGGTAAATAATGTGAGTAAATATAGAGGATTCATAAAACAAATGTATCTCACAGGGCCTGGTTTTCCAAAGCCTTGCAGTTTCAAATATTGGCCTTGCAAAGGACGGGAAATTTCCCCCAGGCTATTGAATCTCTGTTGCAAGATAAGAATTGTAACACAGCAAGGTTGCTGGCTCAAAGACAGACAAGTTATTAATTGATATGTAAAGTTACTAAAAAGCTGCTAGAGGGAAAAGGAATGTTTGCTAAATCAAGCCTTTGTTAGTGGATCACTTAATTGCCTAACAGAATGTCATCTGACTTGTTTTTACTGAATGTTACCAGCTTCTATTGTAAAACTTGTTAAACTGTATTTAGCAAAACTCCACCTATGTCTCTTGCTGTAACTTGCTGGTCTGGAGAATAAATGCAGGAAGAAAACCCCAGTTCGTGGTTAATTTCCCAAATGGAAGAAATGCCTCGTGCTTGAGGAAGTTCTAGGATATTAACCCCTTTCTAGGGCTTCTCACTGCTCAAAAGAGACGGGCTTTGAGTAATCTTTGGCGGCTCTGTCACCCAGGGGAAAAGGGGTGACAAATCCGTGGGAGGCAAAGCAACAAGTAAACATAAATAAATATCAACTTTATAAGACAAAAAATTCCTAATTTATGGGTAAGAAAACCAAAACAAGATAGAACTAAAATTTGGGCTGATTTAAGTCAGAGGGCTGATTTGACCCACGTTAAAGCTTTCTAAAGATCTTTGTTCTTTCCAGGAGGAGAATAAAGATATTGATTAATTTCATACTTCGTTAGGTATGCATTTTGAAATTTCTAAGGTAAACATAAACAATCAGAAATACTGTATATGACCTTCAAATCAACTGGGGCAAGAGTAAGAAAAAAAAAATCTTCCATTAATCTAAAAGGCAAAAGGGGATTCATGGTTATGTAGGGGAACTGAAAAAATGAAAAATAATAGCAAAAGGCAAAAAGGGAGAAAAAACTGAAACATAAAAAACTAGAAAGATTTAAAGTATAAAGTAAGTTGATAGAAATATATCCCAATGTATGAGTTACTACATAACAACAGACCTTCCCCCAGACAAATTTTTAAAAAATCTAGCCATATGCAGTTTACTTCAAATAAACTGAAAACATGAGGACATATAAGAGATTAAAGAGATAATGATGTCTAGGCTGGCTGGTTAGCTCAGTTAGTTAGAGTGTGGTGTTATAACACTAAGGTCAAGGGTCTGGATCCCCATACTGACCAGCTGCTCCCCACCAAAAAAAGATAATTTCTAAATAGCGATATGCCAGAATAATAACAATGACAATAAAAAGCAGATATGGCTATAATAAGAATAGACAAGATAAAATTTAAGGCAAAATATATTACAAGAGATAAAAAAGACAAATGTTCAATTTACCAGGAAGACCTAACAATTCTAAACTCCTATGCACCTAATATCAGAGCTTCAAAAAGTAAAAATACACAAGAAGATAATGAAAAATGGACAAATCCACCATCATAGTGGGAGATTTTAATATACCTCTTCTAGTAGTTAATAGAACAAATAAATAAATCAGTGAAGGTACATAATAAACACCACAATTAACATGCCTGATCTGAAGAAAAAACAATGGAAAAAAACAATTGTTTCCAAAACAATCTTTTTTTCCAAACACACGAAAGATATTTATGGCAATAAATAAGTCTCCACAAAAGAAATCATAAAGGGAAGGTACAGGTAGTATTATCTTAATTTTTTATAAAAGGAAATCAAGACACCCACTAAAGTTATGGAATAAGAAATACAGAAATAAGAATATTAAGTTTCTACAATAAATAAAAGAATTAAAAACAAGAAGCAAAATCTGGAGGAGGAAGGTAGAAGAAAAGTGGGTGATGCAGGTAAGCTAATCCACATCTGCTTTACCAGGAGTCAATAAATAGTGTGTATGCTTGTATCAAGAAATGAAGGTAAAAAACACACCATTTAAAGTTAAGGATGTAATAACCACCAGAAGAAATAACTGAAATGGTTACAAAGTTGGGAATGGGACTGAGGGTGAGGAAGGGTAGAGAGCAAGGCTACTGTTTTCAATCAAATGTTCTTATATACTGTTAGATTTTTTCACCAAGTTAGGAATATTGTTTGTATTAAGCTCTTTTTAGCTCAAAAGGTAATTAAATGAGATAATGTATGTAACTTAGATAGTGTATGGTACATATAAGCATTCTAATTAACAAAGGTTATTTTTATGAATGAAGGGCTAACAAATGATATCACCTATCAGTGTCTGGCACACAGTAGGTACTCATCAAATACTACTTACATGCCTGCCCTCACTGGCCTCTCTTATACCCAGGGTCTACTCCTAAATCTTACTATTTACTTTCTCCTCTAGTCTCTCCTGCCTTTCTTTTACAATATTCAGTCTGGTCCATAATTTAGCAATGGTCCAAGATTTAAATGGACATAAGTATGGTCCATATACAAGACAGACAGAAGCTCTCATCTTATCACCAATAGTCCTGCTAAAACAAAGATTAACACTTTAATATCCCTAATTATTTTCCTAATTGAAGAATGAGGAGAAAAACAATACAAATAGCCCCTTTCTTTGGGGGAAGTGTAGGAGAAGGACTTGTTAAACCTGTGTTGTTCCCACAGCACAGTTCTCTGGACTTCTTTATCATAGTATTTAACAAATGGTGCCATAATTACTTATGCCTACCTTCCCTGGCAGCTGTGAATAAAAGCAGCCAACAGGAGCTGTATCTCATGCATCTTCTGTTCACCTGGGTACCTGGCATAGTACTTGACAAGTAATAGGCAGTGGTTCATATTTGTTGAACAAATGGATGTTTATTAAGCTCTTAGCACTTTTGAGGGGGAAAAAACACTTGAACAGAAATTACTTTACTAAGTTTGAAGTCCAACATCATTATGAAACTCACGATATTGTAGGTTTTGTCCATGTTCACAGGAGAGTCCATCTATTTTCCTAATTAGGAAAAGTAGATTGCAAAAATGCTAGCTGATGCTATCTATCATCTCCAAATGTGTTCCAAGCAAATAAGTAACTTCTCCCTTAAATACTTCTACATGGGAAACAGATCAACTTCCAGGAAAACTCAAACTTAAAATATACATGGAATCCACCAGGAAGATCAGCCCAGTAAAATTCACTGCAGTGCTATCCTACCTGTTTCCTTAATAGATTGTAGTTATAGGAGGAAAAAGAAGCATTTGCCTTAACTTTATAGAAAAAGTTTCACAACAAACAATAACAACTATAACTACGTGTTGGACATTGCTCTAAGTGCTTTACATGTGCTGATTTATTAAATCCATAAGATAATTCCATGAAGTGAGCACCATTTCTCACATTTTTCAAATGAGGAAATGGAGCAAAGAGACTTCTAGGAACTGGCTCAAGGTCACATCACAGCCCTGGAATCTGGGCAGTGTGGCTCCACTATGGACTTCATTTCTCACCTGCCAATGGGTAAGGCGTTGCGGATGATCCTCTGGCTTCCTCGGGTATATTCAATATCTACCGTAATGGGGGCAGAATATGTCATGTCCCGCAAACGGCACTGAAATAGAATCTGACAGTTAGTGCTCCTCCTCCTCTACAAAAGAAAGGGTCTGACTGGTTCACAGAGTGCACTCTCTAGGAGAAATATGGCTCAAGTTGAACTTTGATTTCTTCTCCACTGGGCTGTTCATGTGCTGCCTTAGGGAATCGGGAGTTACCAGCCTACCTTCTCCACAAAGGGAATGTTGCCATGTATTGATCTAGACATTGCCACAGTGCCCCAGGCCCTGCAGGCCCAGAAACAGAATAATAAATCTGGAACTGATTTTCCTCTCTCTGATCTCACATTGTCACCAGTCTGTTCCCATATCTTTAAAGCAGTTAGATTGTTCCTTGCAAACTGGGTCCATGGAAAGTACTCAATTTAGCTTGATTTGCTGTTCAAACAGTTAATAAAAGCATTTAAACTGTACTTCCTTTTAATCCCCAAATAAACTAAACTATATCACAAAAACTCCTTACTAAGTAATGTACTGTAGCACAAATCACTCATCACATCATTCTAACAATTTCTGAATCACTTGCTGGATTCTAGAAATCGTTGGTGTGTGCTTTAATTAGATGTGGTGGTGACTAACTAAACGATGCCCTGACAGAGCTGTGATCACATATAGGAAGCCCCATCCAAATCTTCCAATGATGTCCCCATTATATTGATGGTCATCAGGTGGCTTGTAGTCTCAAAAAGAGAACTCCTTTGAACATCAACCATACAATTCAAGGTGCCAAATCCTCTAGATGGCTTCTACTGAACCAAACATAGTCAGACTTAAACTTTTTCTAGCTTTTATAATAGTGTCTGAGATTTTAAAATATCAGGATTATTACTGATCAATAAAAATTATTTATGTGTGTCATATTTAATTAGATCAAGCCTCCTCCTTCAGGCCAGACCAAAGGACATGTGGTATGGTGGTTAAGAGTTTGGACTCTATTGCCTCGGTTCAAATACTAGCTCTACCACTTAAGTTTTAAATAAGCTTTCTGAATGTCAGTCTCCTCATATGTAAAATGGGGATGAGAATGATCATTTTAATTCCCAAAATATAAATATACATATATTTAGAATGGTGCCTGGTTCAGAGTACTATATAAATATTATCTCTTCTTTTTTTTAAATAATATTAATGTAATGCCCATGTAGGTAAGCATTCATCCCTTCAAATGAAAATGAAATTTGACAAAAGTGGTAGAAAAATAATGGGGACCCACTCCATAGGCCCCACACTACCTCCATGGACCCTCTCTGTCCCCCTCAGTCTCTCTCTCATCACAGGAGTGGAGTTGTGCTAGTGAAGCCTGCGGAATCTGCAGCCAGCCAGTCCTGCTGTGGCTCCATGACTGCCCATCACCTGCTCTTTGGCACCTCCCTCCCTCAATGCAATGATATCCATATGTTTTCTTCAACATCAGGAAGAATAATTCTGACAAATATAGCTTCAGCCTTCATGAACTACTTCAAACTACTTTGTCTCCTCTCTTCTCTGAATTCAGTGATATCGTTTAAAAGAGAACTTGGAAATTGCCAATTGGCTGCCTAGTTTTTGAAAAGTGGGAAAGATCTAGCTAGATGAAATGGGGAAGAGGGGTAAGCCAAACTGGGACACACACTTTCCTATACCCCACAGTCCTTCATCACTCCCCGTTCAATACAACTTCACTTATTTATCTTAGCTACCTGGTCCTTCTAGGCATTCAAGTTTGCAACTCTTGGTGCATTTGTTTCTGGGTTTTATTTTAATCTCTCCACAAGAGTATAAACTCCTTGAGGAAGAATATTGTGTCTTATTTTTTTCAATGTTGAGGCACAAAATAAAATTTTAATAAATACTTGGTGATTACTTGTCTGGTTACTTGTTCTTACAGCCTGTTTAATCTTACCTAGACAATATCGTAACACTCTAAGACCTCACTTGTTCTTTAATAAAGATTACTGTGCTACATCCCCTAATTGCTATTTTAGCTTTACTTTAACACAAACCAGATGAATCTACAAAATCATTTTCCTTCCTGAATCAATTCCCAATTATGGACACTAAGTGGAGGAATTTGAAGAGAAGTCTAGACTCTGTTAAAAGCCAACAAAAAGGCCTGTCCTCCTACAACCCTTTGTCTATAGCTCTGTTAAGACCCTTGTATTTCAATTTTCTTCTCATCTGTCTCTCTTATTAGACTGTGGATTCCTAGTCCTTGGTCTCTTCTGCCTAACACAATACCTGGTTGATCCTCACACAGTGTGCTAGGTCAATGACTCCTGCACACCATGAACAGTACACTGTGAGAAACCCAGTGGCTGAGTGGTGGTAGGGAGACTGCTACAAAGCTCAGAAACAGGACTAAACAGGACTCCGTGATGTAACAGTGCAAGTTAATTAGGATTAAATGACAAAATAAATAGTACAAAATTTTTTTCTAATATAGTATACTATACAAGTGCTTATTTATTTTGGTTATTTTTGTCTCAGGAACAATTTTTTTTTTCTTTTGCCTGTTTTTAAATAATCTTTTAAGGGTATGTATTAAGGAGAGACTCTTTGAGTTAAAGCAGACAAGTCCAATTAAAGTAAGGTTTATAATTACCTCATGAGGGGACACTGGTCTAGTTACATTGAAGCTTTCTTCAACATCAGGTAGCCCGACATAGATATTAAGATATCTGAAAAGCAAATTATTACCAATAATTCTTCTTCAAAGAACATATAAACAAACAAGCTATTTTCCTCCCAAATATAAGAACTATGCTTTGACAAATGCTTATTTTGCTAAACGATGACAAACAAGTTACAAATTATAATTTTTTTTTTTTTAAAAGATGACCGGTAAGGGGATCTTAACCCTTGACTTGGTGTTGTCAGCACCATGCTCATCCAGTGAGCTAACCGGCCATCCCTATGTGGGATCCGAACCCTTGGCCTTGGTGTTATCAGCACCGCACTCTCCCGAGTGAGCCACAGGGCCGGCCCTACAAATTATAATTGAATATCTTCTTAAGTGATAGTACCTATAGCTTTACAAAAGAGGGAAAATGTTATTAAAGTATCTTTTAAAAAATATTATCTCTTCACAAAAAGACTGGAAATACAGCTTCCCCCAAAATGATACTTAATGAATAAAGCAAAGTACAAATGAGTACTTTATCTTATTTAATAACTGATTTGCTTTATTCATACAAACGAGTGTCTATGGTCTGCTATCATTTCTGTAATAAAGAAGAGGACATAAGAAGGGAAAGTACATGCTCATTTGTGCAAAAGAAGCATAGGAAGGATAATGCAGAAACTAAGAGATTGGTTACCCACAGATTGATTGGAGTGGCTGGGAACAAGGTGGAAAAAATCAGGAAGGGAGGAGCAATTTTCTGAAGATACATTTTTGTATAGGTCTAACTCTTAGCCACTATAATAATGTTTCACATCCCCCCAAAATAAACACAAAATTAAAATCAACTAGGATGTAGGAGAACCCAAAGTGGAATACAAACCTTACTATATTACAAAGGAATGACATAGCTGCTCTGAAAGGGTGGGAAAGAAAAGAACTAATCTAAGTAACTTTAGAAAACAGCATTTTGACTGGCTACTGTAAGGGTAAAAAAGATGATACATAAATATTGTACTCTAATTAGTAAATTTCATTCTCACAGAGGTATGAGTTAACAATCTGAAACAACTTTGTGCATAGTCTAGGATTGAAAAAAGAAAATACAGTCATGCACCACTTAATGACAGGGATATGTTCTGAGAAATGCATCATTACGTCATTTTGGCACTGTGCACACATCATAGTGTACTTACACAAACCTAGATGGTACACACTTAGGCTATATGGTATAGCCACTATAATCGTATGGGACCATTGTTGTATATGTGGTCCTTCACTGACCAAAACCTCATTATGTGGCATGTGACTGTACACTGTGGATAATGAGAGCCAGGCTTCTCACTGTCAGGGATAAAAATTACAAATAAGGGAGAATGTGAGAATGAGTCTTGCAGTGTTAGATTAGAATCGGAGGTATCAGTCTGCATCATTTTTAATATATGTAAAAATGGATAGAAAATAGATGTGTGTGTATGTATACATTAGTATACATACATATATTTCCTAGCTCAGTCCATTGAGAACTTAGTGTCCATACCTTGGTTTTTAAATACTATTTTCCAACAAAAGGGACTAGAACTTCTTGGAGAAATGGTTGATTCCCAGGCTGGAACAGGGAGAATACCAAATTAACTCCATCTTATGGTGTCAGAAAGTAAACAATTATTGGAAAAATAACGTGGGCATACTGAAAGGACACAGAAGTCAACTTGTAGTATGTCCCTGTGGCCAAAGCTGAGACACTAGAAAGGCAATAGATTAATGATAGTACTGGACTATAACACATAAAATAAAATAAATATCCGTGAGTCCAAACTGATAAAAATTAATATAGAGAGATATAAATGAGGGGAAGGGGAAAACTCTTTCTTACAGTAGAATTCAAAATTAATGCAGAAGGAACAATGGAAATAGGGATTCACCATTAGGTAAACACCACGGTAATAACCGTCATAGATAGGAACCATCAATGCATGCTAAAACTAGTGGTGAAAGTATGATGAGAAATAAGATATTTGCACAATCTCAAAGGACCTCCCCAAGATACTTATTAATTACAAAATGAAAAAATAGTTACAGCGGAGAAACCTAGAAGATACCACCTTCACCAAGTGAACAAAGTTTAAATCACCAGTAATAAAATATATTGACATCTGTACCCCCAGATATAAAACAATGAGAATGACACAAAACATCGTTTCTTGCCCCAAATCCATAACCAAATCTCAATCATGAACAAATACCATACAAACCCAAATTGAAGAAACTTCTACAATAACTGACCAGATTGTTCAAAAGCATCAAGGTCATGAAAGACCAAGAAAGACTGAGGAATTGTCACAGATTGAGGAAACTAAGGAGACAAGTCAACCAAACGTAATGTGGTATCTTGGACTGATTCCTGGACGAGAAAAGGGATATTAGTGGGAAATGTCAAATGAGGTCTGTAAATGACAGCTTCTGTAGTTGACAGCATTGTTATAATGCTAACTTCCTGGCTTGGATGATTGTGTTGTGGTTATGTAAGATGGTAATATTAGTGGAAGCTTGGTGAAAAATGTATGGGAACTCTTTGTACTATTTTTGCAATTTTTCTGTAAGTCTAAAATTATTTCAAAACAAAAACTTGTTTAAAATATTTGAAACCTAACAGTTTCAACAACTTCTCAATCATAACTCTACTTGTTATAGTTTACCAATTAAAAATTAAATTTGAGCACTTTATAATAGTCTTATTAAACAGATAAAAGAGAATGATTTTAAGAGTTTTTGATATCAACTACATTCACTTAAAAAAAAGTTACAATAATCAAAATAGCAAATTTAGAGTAGTTGGTTCCTTACTTTAAGTACCACATGGGGTCAGCATCACTCGTAACCTTTTCATTGGCTTTCATTATCTTCTTTATCTGCAGTGGAAAGTACAACTTTAGGAACGACTCTGGCTTCCAATTAATTCTTGGCTTATGTCTGTGTCCAATATCTAATACTTACCTCTACATTGATGAAATAGTTAAATGAATCTATATGCTGTTTTACAAGGCCTTTCACCTAAACAGAAAGTAAAAGGTAGGTTAGCAACAAAATAGATTATATAATAAATTCTAACCACAGAAGATCAAATTTTTCTCAGAATCAAAGTGAGAACAAAATCCATGAATTATTGAGTAAAACTTTTCATTAATGTGTCCTCATTTCATTTCTACACCATCTTACTTACTAGTTCACCCTCAAATTTTCCCCCTTGAAGAAGGGGAAACTCTTATACACGGTTGGTAGGAATGTAAATTAGTACAGCCATTATGGAAAACTGTATGGAGGTTCCTCAAAAAAACTAAAAATAGAACTACCATATGATCCAGCAATCTCACTGCTGGTCATTTATCCAAACGGAAGGAAATTAGAGTACCAAAGAAATATATGCACCCATGTTTCTTGCAGCACTATTCACAATAGCCAAGATATATAATCAAGCTAGGTGTCCATCAACAGATGAATGGAAAAAGAAAATGTGGTATATGTACAAAATGGAATACTATTCAGCCATAAAAAAAGAATGAAATTGGGCTGGCCCGGTGGCGCACTGGATAGTGTGCCGCTTGGGAAGTGCGGCGGCGCTCCTGCCCGAGGGTTCGGATCCCACATACAGACCGGTTCCCGCTCACTGGCTGAGCGAGGCGCGGGGGCAACACCGAGGGTTGTGATCCCGTTGCCGGTCCCAGTTCGGTACGG